AAAAAAAAAGAAATAATTTTTAAAATAATTTTTTATAACATACTTACCTTGTCTATAAGGCTTTCAACAGTAAGTTCCTCATGATGAAATCAGCCACTGTAAACTAGAGTATATAATACTATAGAAGTTGACTTTTTAGAGATTGTGAATGTAGTATTAGTCGTCTCAGACATGTCTCTTTTGCTGATCAAAATTCGTTTTCCTGCTCACTAATTGTTTCAGTTCAATTCTCTGCCTTTTCCTGTTTTCTTTTGTAGAATGTATTTATTTTCATAGCTTTAACTACCAATTTACTGTAGCTGGCCCCTTATCGGAATCTCTAGTATTGTCCTCTGTTCTGAATTCTATTTCTGTATTTCCTACTGCATTTGAGACTTTCTTTTTGGTTATCTTACTAGCACTTCAAATACACATATTTAAAACTGAATTTAACCTCTTTCTCCTAAAGTCACCCCATCCTTCTTTCTGTCATAGGTACCATCCTCATAATCTGCGCCAAAATCCTTTTACTTCTCCTCTCCTTTTGCTGTATTCCCTGTATAGTTTCCAATTCCTGTTGCTCTTTCTTTTTTCTATATTTTGCCAATATTTTGAAAAATTTCCAACATAAAGAAAAATTGAAAGAATTTTACAGTGAATACATGTATGCCCACCACTGAGATTTTACAAGGAACATTTTACTGTATTTGCTTTTTCACATAGCTGTCTATCCATCTATCCTCTATCTATTCATGCTTTTTCTTTTATATTTTATCTTCCTCTCCATTTCTGTAATCACACACTTGGGTTATTCTTGGTCTTTTTTCCTACAGTTACCGATCCTCCTCCAATACTATGTCCTTTGTCCCAGTGATCTCCAAGATGGTGGTGCTCAAATTATCTATTTGGGTACAGGAAGAAAATGTCAGAACTTATTTTTCGTAATGTTCCTATTGGGAAAAAAATAAATTAAGCTTCCCTGCTATTTTATATACAGATTATCGATGATGTTCTTACTCATTCCATATGTCAGATTATTACATACGCTACCCAGAGTGTCTGGAGGGAAGAATGGGTTTGGCACCCTTACTTGTGTTAAGGGCACTGTGAAGTTTTGTGGTTTACTTGTGCCCAGTTAAGTGGATTTATAGACTGTGTTCTATAGTTTTAATCCACACAAAATTGAAATATGGCTGAAGAAGATTTCTGCAAAGATACTACTGATTTAAGGTAATACAAGTATATAGCAAGCCCAAGCTAACAGTAAGAAAATGGCGGAGCTGACATGTTTAATATGTCACTTTTTTTTTTTTATATTGAGGAAGATTAGCCCTGAGCTCACATCCATTGCCAATCCTCCTCTTTTTGCTGAGGAAGATTGGCCCTGGGCTCACATCTTTACCCATCTTCCTCTACTTTATATGAGGGACGCCACCACAGCATGGCTTGATAAGCAGTGTGTAGGTCCGTGTGTGGGATCCAAACCTGGGAAACCCGGGCCACTGAAGTGGAGCACGCAAACTTAACCACAATGTCACTGGGCCAGCCCCACTTTTTTAAACCACATTGAGGTAAAATAGTGTTATTTTTTCATTTAGTCTTCATCTCCTTTGTAAAATTGTGTTTTATGTATGCTTTATTACGTACATATTAGTAGAGTAGTACATATATATCATACATATCTGTTGGTTGTCACACTGTGACAGCTATGTGTTGCTG